TATAAAACTTACTCTGCCATGCCACTCAATAAAAGTTCCTCAGCTAAAGTTAATGCTGATACTTTATGAACCACGAAACCATTACTCGAACAACTTATGTCATTACTCCATTCCAATGGAGCAACAAACTCCTTCCTTGTAGCCTCCATATCCTTAAGGCTGCACCATCTGGGTAAATGTATGATTCGGAAGGACGTGTCTGGCTCAAATGTTCAGACAGTTGTTGAACAATCACTACTGAATGAAATGGATAATAAAACTAATAAACATTATAATGGGAATTTTTGTAATACATTTACACTTAACATCAACATTCCTTTAGGTCATGGAGAAAAATCTAAAAAAAATTGTACTAGTAACAATAAACACTTTGCAATGATGGAATTTCAAATATTTATGTACTTTTCTTGGAATAAAGAAGGCAAAGAAGGATAGAAACGACTTAACAAGGTTAGCTACGTTCAGTGCACTCCATATCGTTTGGAAAGAATTGCCTTACTTAATGCGGCGTCCGACGAATATTTCGAGGAATGTCATTGGCATTTCTGCCATTTCAGATGGAAAATGTGTCCAAAGCCTTCAAACTAAATATAGTGGGGAGTACAGGTACATAACAATTGTATAAACATATATATCCGATATATGAGCCATTACTACAAAAAAATTAGAAAAATATTAAAAAATCGAAATAATACGAAATAGATAACGAAATATTTTGATTGAATATATTTAAAAACAATTTAGAAAGTATCAGGCGGTTTTGCAACAGATATACTGGATACCAATTTTTAGACAAATGCGTGAAAATATGTTGTAAACATCATGAAAACACCGAATATCGGGAGGTACTATTTTATGGGGGCTATTCGAAAAGGGAACCTAGACATTCAATGTTGTACTACCGGACCTAGAACCCATTACGAAGCTAGAACCCATTACGAACAAATACCAATTTTTATGTGTTAAGAATCATCAAAACAACGAATATCGGGAGGTACCGGGAGGTATGGGGGATATATCTTCCAATTTTGCCCATACCAATATTTTTATCGGTATAAGATGAATTATAACCAGTAAAGAAAGTCTTAAAGTCGGGCGGGGCCGACTTTATGATACCCTACACCACTTTACTAATGTAGTAGTGCTCCACATAACAACTAAAAGTTTTTATGGGAGAATTCAATCATACAAGCAACGATTATAATTATAATTTAAAGTTCAAAGGACTAAATATGCCAAAGCATTTGTATCTTTTAAATTCGGACTTGTGTTGCCCATTTGGTGCTAATTTAAAATCGGATGAGAATATGTATGGTGCTATATCCAAATCTGAACCGATCTCGATAAAATTTGGCAAAGGTATTTCTGAGCTGTATTTGATATATTTCCCTGAATATCGTTGTTACGGAGGGCATATTACGGTTGTGGGTAACAAATATAACAAATCGGATGAACAATATATATGGAAGCTATAGCTATATAAACCGATCTTCACCAAATTTGACATACTAGCTTCAAGACTCAATTCGGTCGTAAGTGCCAAATTCCATCCCATTTAGACAAATATTAGACGTTTTGTGCACAATAAAAGGTGAATCGGACGAACTTATATATGGGAGCTATATCCAAACCTGAACCGATCTCGATAAAATTTAGCAAAGGTATTTCTGAGCTGCATTTGATATATTTCCCCAAATATTGTTGTGCAGAGTTCATATTACGGCTCCGGAGGACAAAAATAACAAATCGGACAAACAATATATATGGGAGCTATAGCTATATCTGAACCGATTTCGATCAAATTTGACATACTTATTTTCAGGCCTAATTTGGGTGTATATGCAAAATTCTATACAATTCGGGCTGATATTTCACGTTTGGTGCACAATAAAAGGTAAATCGGGCGAAGATATATAAGAGAGCTATGTCTAAATTTTGACCGATTATCTCCAATTTCAATAGGGTTCGTCCTTGGGCCAAACAAATGATTTGTGCAAAATTTCATCTGGATTGGGCAATAAATGCGAACTGTACTTTGTTTACAAAAATACATGGACAGACGGACGGACGGACATGCATAAATCGAATGTGATTCTATGCAGATCATCAAAAGGAACTATGGGTCTATCTCGTTTCCTTTTGCCTGTTACAAACAAATGCACAAAGACATAATACCCTGACCACCTTGTGACGCAAATCTTAAAAATTATCATATATCTCATGAAAAGTGATGGCAGTAACCTGGTACGTCATTATATTTATATCACATTTGTTTAGATCCGATATGAAATGGACAGAACACGGTGAGAAAAAAAAAACTGCAACAAAGTCAAACGCCATAATTTTTACATTTTGTTTTAATTTTTTTAAATGAAAGCAACAAATGTCGGAATTAGCATCAAATTTTCGAGTGAGTTTAGATTTGTTTGAATTGGTCACCTTTGGCACAAATTATGCTCTGCGAAGCGCTTGCTTGAAGTGATCGACGCTTTGGTATTTTTAGTGCCAACCTTGCTTTCCAAAATACACCAGACACAATAGTCCAACGGATTGGTATCCGGAGTTTTGGTTTTTGTACGCTGGAAATGAAGCGAGGAATCTCATTTTGTAACCTGTTCCTATCCTGTTGGAATGTCCAAGGTCTGCGGCCAAAATGTTTGCGTGCCCAAGGCTTTAATACATCCTCCAGAATATTTTCGCGATAATATTCGGCATTTTTTCTGATGACACATTCGATTAATACAAGCGGAGAGCGACCATCGGCTGTTATGGCGGCCCACACCATCACCATGGCCGGCGCTTGAGTTCTGGTGGCCCACCGATAGTGCACATTTTCAACTGAGCTCTTTGGCAAGTAAACACGATCATTTTGGTTGTTTACAAACTGCTGGTCAACGAATGTTTTCGCATCGGAGAAAACCAAATTCGGCAGTTCACTACTTTCGGCCAAGCGAAGCAACCCTTTAGCTCTTTTGAATCTATTTTCTTCCTGTTGTGGTGTAAGTTCTGGCACTTTTTGGAATTTCAATGGCTTCACCCCGAGCTCATTTTTCAATATTTGCCGTATGGAATATTGCGATATATTCAGCTCACGAGCCATTTTCGGCCACTGCGACGCTAGTTTCGATCAAGTCGCTTCTTTACTTTTCGAACCATTTCTGCTGATGTTGCTGTTTTCTTCCGTCCACTTTTTTGACGTCGGGCTACGCTATCAGTATCACTGTAACGAGCGATGGTACGAGACACAAAAGATTTATTCACATTTAAATGCTGGAGTGTTCTAACGATAGCCACTTGTGGTTTTACAGCCAAATATAAAGAAATCACACCATCACGCTTGAATTCCATCACGAATAACTTTTTTCTGGAAAATTCTCATAAAAATGCTTTTTTACGCTTGTAAACAATATAATGAGCTGTCCCTGGAATAATTTTAACAGCTTTCGGACTAGTGGCTTAGAAATGACAGCAGTCTGAAGTTGGTTGCAGTTTTTTCATCTCACTCTGTATTGGCCCATTCGTCGGAACCTACTCCATAAAGGGTTATCAATTTGAACAATCGTAACAGATATCAATATATATATAAATAATAGAACATTGGCTGAGGGTATACATCTGTCGGCAAAACCGACTGATACTTTTTATACCCTCCACCATACTATGGAGGGTATATTAATTTTGTCATTCCGTTTGTAACTCCTCGAAATACTCATGTCAGACCCAACAAAGTATATATATTCTTGAGCAGCGTAAAATTCTAAGACGATTTAGCCATATCCGTCTGTCTGCTGTGTGTCTGTCTGTCTGTTGTAATCACGCTATCTTTCGAACAAATTGAGATAGAAGGCTAAAATTTTGCACACATGTTTATTTTCCAGTAGGCAGGTTAAGTTCGTAAATGGGCCATGAAGGTCCACGTTTTCATATAGCCCCCATATAAGGGTACCTCCCGATATTCGGTATTTATAAAGGTACCTTCCGATATTCGGTATTGTGATGATTTTAGCGACATTATTTAACGGAATCGTTCCAAATTTGGTATTTGAAGTTCGTAATAGATACTTCCGCATAAAATGGGCCATGTAGGTCCACGTATTCGTATAGCCCCTATATACCGTACCCCCCGATATTCGGAATTTTGATGATTTTAGCGACATTGTTTACCGGGATTGTTTCAAATTTCGCATGTGAATTCGTAATGGATACTTCAGCCCATGCCAGAAAATTGTCTGTGCAGGTCCACGCCTTCGTATAGCCCCCATATAACGGTACCCACTATATTCGGTATTTTGATGATTTTAGCTACATTATAAACAGATTTTTCTTCAAGTTTCGCATTTAAATATTGTAATAACTTATGACAAAAGTTGCCTATTCAGGTCTACGTCGTCATATAGGCATTCGGTATTTTTAAGATTTTAACAGAATTTTAAACGGATTTATTTATTTATTTTTTTGGAAATTGCCAAATTTGTAACAAATGGTGGAGGGTATTTAAAGTTCGGCCCGGCCGAACTTACAGCTTTTTTACTTGTTAAGTTTTTTTTATATTCAATGCCACCCTCGTAGCTTTGTATGAGAGAAAATAATTCTATCAACATCCAGTTTGAGAGAATATTCCATTCCTTTAGAAATTTGCATCTACATGCTGCTTCTGTTTTTATACGGGTAATTACTTTTTGCCAAAGGAAAACAATGGCATCAAACAATTAAGCAATTAATTGGCATCAAGAGGAATATTTTGCAGTGGGAAGTTGATGCCTGCAGTGTAAAATTTTACATTGCAGGAAAAAAAAAAACATCAGATATGTGAGGTGCCTTCGGTGTAATAAAGTTATTGCAACACGTTATTTGGCGTTCACTGTATACCTGAATTTTTCAAGAATAAACAATGTGCACCTTTAACAAGTACCATCAGAATGAATTAAATCTTAATATCATACAAACATCGCAACATCTGTACTCATATTTCTGTATTTGGTTTGTTTTTGTTTTTGCAGACGAGTCCATATTACAAAAGAAACATTGAAATGTCTCGATGGCGACTATGAAGTGGAGGTGGGAAATGGTGCGGAACGTAATTCATATCTGAAGGATCATCAAATTGAAACGTATCTCATTGTTCCGGGGGATATTTATAGACCGGTATGTAATTCACAGGAAGTAAGTTTGCATTGAGTGTGCTTCACTATATTGGTTTGGGCGTCTATATTACAATTATTCCATGGAATTGAGAATTAAAATAGTTACTGGCACATTTATCCATTATACTCAACATATTTTTTATTCAACTTTGTTTTCAGAATAAGAAATCTCGCAATCGTTTACAAGTAAACGGTAACATATCCAAGGAATTGCGAATGATGGGTCATGGAAGCATGCAGAAAAATTGCTCGAAGTGAGTTCCTGTTTTGTCCATTCATTAATTTAACATTTGTTGTTCCAGAAATTTAAGCAAAATTTTTGTAAAATCTAATTTAATTTTTCTACTCATTTTCTGCTCAGATTCGGTTTCGGCGATAGTAACGAATCGTCTAAAGATCCAGAAGATGAAGTCAACGAATATCTTATGAGAGCCATAGATGCCCGTAGTATAGATCATTTAAGAGCGGAACATTGCAAGTCAATTTTACTCTCATTTAAGGAACAAAATCTTGAGAGAAAGGTAAAAAAAAATTGAAGAGTTTAATTAATAAAATTCAAATATTACAATCGGCAATGGCGATCATATGATACCCTACACTAATTTTTGAAAACTCGTACTTGAAAGGAACAAAAGTTAGGAAATGATGCAACAGTTTAAGATTAAAGGAAGTTTTATACTTCAAGTGTACGGAATGAAGTAAAAGTCATAACATTGATATTTGAATGATTATAAATTCGTACTGAAAGGATACTAAAAGTAGCAAAAGGTATTGAAAATTGAATTGAGATTCGCTGATGGAGTGCAGGATAGATAAACCAAAGGGTTTTTAGAAATATGAACTTTAATGTTACAAAAAGTTCTAATATGGTACTAAACATACAAAATGGTACCATTTGATATTATGTGAACGAATATACCTAATAATTTGAAATTAGGAATAAGGGCTGGAAAATTCGTTTGATATATGGAGATGGTTTTGGAAATGTGTTTAGATCACATTGTGCAAAAATTTGGAACAGTTTGGTATAGGGTGAGTGGATGAAGCAGAATTTTGGTATTAGGGTCCCTACTTGCGGTAGGTTTGTTATAATGAGGTGGTTTTGAAAATGTGTACTATAACTGTTCAAAAAGTATTAATAGCACTAAATTAGGTACACTTTGGAGTTGGGTGAACATATAGCTTTTAAAAACTGAAATTTTGTGTAAGAGTCGCTGTTTATGTTAAGCCTTGACATATGAAGGTGGTTTGGAAGTGTGTACCATAATTGTACGAAAAGTACTAAAAGGGAACTAAATTTGGTATTGATAGAAGGTATAGGCTAAAATGCTGTAATTTCATATTTAGATTGCTGATGGTATCTGTGCTTGAGGTTTGGAAGTGGTTTGAAAATGCGTCCTATATTTGTACGACAAGTATTAAATAGTACTAAATGTGAAATTGGGTGAAGGGATAGGGCTGGAATCTTCAAATTTGATATTGAGGTCTCCGTTGACATCTGAAATTAAATAGTTTTGGTCAGTAGAATTGGAAGTGGTTCCATTGTGTAATGGTTTAACTAATATTTTCTTCGGTAAACTTCAAAATGAGAGATTTTGAAGACTTTTTGGTGTAAAAGGTATAGATTTTCATATTTTTAAATGAAAAAACTTAAATGGTATATAAAACCTTGAAAGTCTGAAAATTTAGTACGATGTATCGAGTTTTGATTAAACAATGTTCTCAATCGGAACAAATGGTGCATTTTGAGTACTAAGGTGGACTTTTCACTGCCCGCTACACCTGATTGATGAATAGAGTGATGAGTGACTGAAGCTAGAATATAGAAATTTTGTATGTGCATCAATGTGTAAGATTAGGTGGTGGATTTGGAAAAGCGTAACATATTATGTACGAAAAGTACTAAACAGTACTAAATTTGATATCTAATGTTGGAATAGAGTTAGAATTGGTATTGGCATAACTGTGAATGTGTGGCATTTGAATATGTAGATGTTTTTTTTTTTAATTTACGCTACCTAGTCTATGAAAAGTACTAAATGGTACCAATTTGGTATATAGTGTAGAAAACAGCTGGAATTACACATTATAGTACGTATTATCAAATTGGCCTCCTCATCTAAACACTTCACATTCTCAGTGATTCTAATACCAAAATTAATAATATCAGTTCAATTCCTACAATTTATTCCAAAAGTAGTACTTTTCTTTCACTTATTGTACGCATTTCCAGACCGACATCTTTCTATACTAAATTTCAACATTTCACCTTTATTCATTCACCTTAGTCCACATTACCAAATTCACATCTTTTTATTCCCAAATTTGATTCTCATTCTAAATTTCTAAATATTACCCGTATCCGCATTTTACAACTTTTGATACACTTATTGTTCAAATTTCCAAAAACTCTTTGGTGCATCAAACCTACATAACATCAAAGACCAAATTACAGACTTTAAGCTCAATCCCTTACCCAACCACGAAATTTAGTACTTTTTGAGTACGTATTTTAAATCCAACTTCGTATATCAACTCCACCGTATAGAAATTTATTCTACAACCAAATTTTAGATTTCCATATCTTCCCGCCCCTTACACCAAATATTTTTATTTCCTAATTAATGTTCATATATCCATATACCCTACACACTCACAGCAACCCTATTGGCAAATTTTAGACTTCAACCACTCCTTGTTCACCCAAGCAAAATGTAATACGAAATTTAGTACTTTTCGTTATTTTTTTCTAAAGCCACCGCCATATCTTAAACCTACATCACAAAAGTTATACCAATACCAAATTTCAGATTTCCAACTCTATCTCTACCTGATATACCATATTTAGTACTTTTTTTGGTACATATTTCCAAAACCACCTTCAGTTTTAACACTTCGAAATTCCTGTTCAACCAAACCCAAGCTATACCAAATTTAGTACCATTTAGTACAGTGCTCACACACAGAACAAATTTCCAGAACAACCTCCTTATATCAACCATGCCTCCCAACTTACTTCTTATACCAAATGTGACGAAAAATCTATTGTACATATATCCTACACCTACATCAGCATCATACACCAATACATACAATTGACTACAATTTGAGTAAGTTTTAGTGGACTCATCACTCTACTCTTTAATATAAACATATGAATTATTATTAGTGTAAAGCGATTTCAAATCCACACTCGAATTCTGCCGTTGTTGTCTTAAGGGTATGATAAGTACCTCAATGTTCGAAATGGTACAACATTGTTTTTGTAATATCTTAAGCTATTAAATTTTTAGTTAAATTTCGATTTTTGAAAGTTCCCACTTTAAGAGTATGAAAAGTAATTCATACATTAATGTTTCCAGAATTATAATTTCGGTAAGAGTGTTAACTTTGAAATTTTGAATACGGTCCGAAATTTAAAGGGCACTAAACGTACAAAGAGTTAATAAATATCATAACATTGGTATTGATGATCGTTAAGTTTTAAAACTTGGAAATCTTTAATGAGTTCCAGGTTCCATTAGAAAGTCCCTCTTAGATTAACCAGAAAGGAGCCATATTTAGTAGAGTTCCCGTAACAAAAGAATTGATTTGAAGTAGATCATACCATCTATCAATTTAGGCTTTAGAGCAGTTATAATTTAGTTTCAGAGGGAACTAATACATTTCAGAGGGAACTAATTCACTAAATTTGACGGAGACATTGCTATAGAGTGCATGGTATCACTTCGAGAAGGATTATATTAAAAAAATGCATATCGGAAGCAAGATCCACAAAATGGAAACGTACGTCCATAAAATCGAATTGAGGATATATATATGGGAGCTATATCCAATACTCAGCCGATCTCTATAAAATTCGACAACGGTATTTTCGAGCTCTGTAAGATACCTGATACAAAATATCATTGTTGTCGAATGCATATTACGAATGTGAGGGACTTAAAGACCAAATCGGATAAAACATATATATGGGAACTAAAGCTATACCTGAACAGATTTTCACCAAATTTTATGTACTTGCTTCTATACAGGTCATTTGAACTGATATTGGCCAATTAGTGCACAATTAACCCGAAATATTTGAAGAAATATATAAGAGCTATGTTCAAATCTAAGTCGATCTTGATAAAATTTTGCAGAAATATTTCTGGGTTGTATCTGATATCTTCATTCCGGTGGAATGCGTATTACGAATATGAGACACTTAAACTCCAAATTGGATGAAACATATATCTGGGAGCTATAGCTCCCACGTTATGACTATGGGTTTGAGTCTGACCGACATGACGAAACATCGAGCATTTGGTTTGGATGTCTCGTACTTTTATGCGTGTGATCAAACAGGGCATAACATGAAGAGCGTTTTCTGTCCATGGCATAAATAGAGAAATATGCCGCATTTGCAGCCCTTTAATAGCTATATCTTAACAGATTTTCACCAAATTGTACTTCCTTCTAGACTAAATTCGGTCGGATGTGCCAAAATTCAGGTCATTTCGACTTATATTGGCCCTTTAGTGCACAATTTGGACGAAACCGGTTGAAGATATATATGGGAGCTATATTTAAATTTGAACCGATCTTGATATAATTTGGCAGAGGTATTTCTGGGCTATATCTGATATCTGGTACCAAATATAATTCTTGTGGAGTGCATATTACGAATGTGATGGAGCTATAGCTATACCGAATTTCACCAAATTTGATGTACTTGATTCTAGACTGAATTCGGTCCGATATGCCAAAATGCAGGTCATTAGAACTGATATTGGTCATTTGGTGCACAATAAACCCGAAATCGGTTGAAGATATATATGTGAGCTGTATATATATTTTAAGCGATTCCCACCAATTTCAATAGGGCCAAACAAATATTGTTTGGAAAATTTCATCTCAATCGGATAATAAATGCTACCTGCATTTTTTACAAGCATAAATCGACTCAGAAAGGGACTCTATGAAGATCCTCAAAAGTAACTATGGGTCTATCTCACTTTCTTCTCCATGTTACAAACAAATACACAAAGACATAATAATCTTATCTCTATGAGGTGTAGGGTATGGCGCGTAATGGTGTAGGGTATCGAAACGCCGCCTAATGTTCTCGCTCTTGCTTAAAATCTCCATTTTTTTCCTTCTTGTTTAACAGTACGCAACAGAGCCTGATCGAATGTTAAGTGTATATTTTTACTGCAGTTTTATTGTTTTAGTCGGGGCAACTATTATGCGCCTGTGTATATTTACCTGGTATGTATAATTTTTAATGGAAGCACAGACTGACAATCGAATAAAATTTCACAACCTACGTGAACATTTATATTCTGGTTTCTTTTAGTAATGCATTTACAATTGCCATCTCGTGTCTGAGTGTAGCCGTAGTCATGATAATATCGGCACTGGTGACCTGTCACAATCTCAATGTTAATGTAAGTCTGAATGGAATCGTAGATATTTAACATTTTAATTTTTATCTCTCGCTTGCCTCACGGGTTAAAATTAAATTTTGGCTAAATTCCAATTTTTAATTTTCTAATAATATGTGTTTATTTTTTAAGGGAGATTTAGTTTTTTTTAAATATTCGTTTTTTTTTTTTCAACTAGTTTTTCTCTCTTTGTCCTTGCAGATTCCCCATGGTATCAAACAGTTTTCACTGCAAATTCACAGTAATCGCGTTCTGTCGCAATGTTTTGCATTTCTGACGGTTGCCCTGATTGCCCTCACTACGGGACTACTGATGGTAAGTGCTAAAATGCCATTCAAATGTATTCATCCGATGGGTCTCTTTGTGGGTTGACTTTGTATGCAGCGTGTGAATTGACGTGGGAGAAATTCAATCTCCATTTCAATCGAAATGGTCAACAAATGGTGAACAAAATGGATCAATATCGCGCTGCAAACAAAAGTAGATACAAACTGACAGGAATTGGAAACATATACTGCAATATATGTTTGCATTTAATCCAACAGCTTTAAGTGTCAATAGAGTTTATTCAGGCGATACTAAATTTAATGGAATTAAACAAAGCTTATGGCGAAAAATTCGATAATTTAGGTGAAAAGGAAACATAATTACACTTACACCACCATGAATGCAGATTATATTCGCTTTTAATCATCATGAATTCGAGTCAAACTACAACTCTTCAAGGAAAAGACTTTTTACTTAGTGGTAACGGAATTTTACATCTCGTCAAGTTTTCAAAAAAAAAAAAAAAAAAAAAAAAAACAGCAAAGAAAGTCTTAAAGTCGGGCGGGGCCGACTTTATGATACCCTACACCACTTTGCTAATTTAATAGAGCTCCGCATGACAATTAAAAGTTTTTATGAGAGAATTCAATCATACACGCTATGATTGTAATTATAATTTAAAGTTCAAAGGACTAAATATGCCGAAGCATTTGTATCTTTTAAATTCGGACTTGTATTGCCCATTTGGTGCACAATTAATTTGAAATCGTATAAAAATATATGAGAGTTATATCCAAATCGGAACCGATCTCGATAAAATTTGGCGAAGATATTTCTGAGCTGTATTTGATATATTTCCCTGAATATCGTTGTTACGGAGTGCATATTACGGCTGTGGGTAACAAATATAACAAATCGGATGAACAGTATATATGGGAGCTATAGCTATATCCAAATTTGACATACTAGCTTCTAGACTTAATTCGGTCGTAAGTGCCAAATTGCATCCCATTTTGGCAAATATTGGACGTTTGGTGCACAATCAAAGTAAATCGGACGAAGTTATATATGGGAGCTATATCCATATCTGAACCGATCTCGATAAAATTTAGCAAATGTATTTCTGAGCTGTATTTGATATATTTCCCCAAATATTGTTGTGCATATTACGGCTGCATATTACGGCTGCGGAGGACATAAATAACAAATCGGACGAACAATATATATGGGAGCTATAGCTATATCTAAACCGATTTCGATCAAATTTGGCATACTTATTTTCAGGCCTAATTTGGGTGTATATGCAAAATTCCATACAATTCGGAGTGATATATAACGTTTGGTGCACAATAAAAGGCAAATCGGACGAAGGTATATATAGGAGTTATATCTAAATTTTTACCGATTATCTCCAATTTCAATAGGGTTCGGCCTTGGGCCAAACAAATGATTTGTACAAAATTTCATCTGGATAGGGCAATAAATGCGAACTGTACATTGTTTACAAAAATAGATGGACAGGCGGACGGGCGGACATGCATCGCGAATGAAATTCTATGCAGATCATCAAAAGGAACTATGGGTCTATCTCGTTTCCTTTTGCCTGTTACAAACAAATGCACAAAGACATAATACCCTGACCACCTTGTGGTGTAGGGTATAAAAGTGCGTGGCCGACCATGTGATATCCTACAACATTCTAATATACATTTTGAAAGATTTCGCTTTTGAAATTATGTCATAGAGCATTGCCCAGATACTACCCTTAGCTTTTTGACCAGGGGCATTTGCGCAATATTTACGCACTCCGTCGTGCCGTTAGTTGTTATGGTCCATTGCAAAGTCAGAATATTATGTGATCATCTCCAAAAGCAGTAGGCTTATATTCTGGCCCTAGCCCCACCTCCATTCTAAATTTCGTGAAGATCGGGCCATAATTGCGACCTGCAGAGTGATTACAAATTAACATGGACAGACGGACGAACATACATAGCTAGATCGACTCAGCTCGGCGAAATAGGAAGGTCCATATATACTTTCCTATGTGGGAAACTAATATTTCGAGGTGTTACATAATTTTTTTGCCCAATCAAACTTATATTACCCCCAACACATAGTGTTGTAGGGTATAATAATTTGGCACACAGAAAAATTATGTCACCGAAACACAAAATTAACAACTATTCATATCATAAAGATTATTATCTTATGCTTGATGTTAGTATCGAATCTGTAAAATGTACTTTGTTTAGACCTCAATAACGATGAGTTTATAATATATAAAAAAAACTCAGTAATGACCGATTATTTGGCCGTATTAATAAGGGTATATTAAGTTTGTCATCTCGTTTGTAAGTATTGAAATGGGCGAATTTGTTTACATTTGACGGTATGAGTTGGGATATGAGAGGTTTTTATGCCTCATCGAAATAACGTTTTTGATTCTAGTTCTCTTTGGACCAAATCCGTGTCAGCACATTTGGAGTCGATCTGACGATGTCCGTCATTCTGTCTGATTTGGTCCAAACTTGGTGCATCGTAATCCATCATCAAACAAAGATGAAAAATTAAAAAAAAATCAAAAGGAAAACACATTCTAATATTTGCATCAGTACTAGGTAAGATGCGACACTAATGGTTCACTCCATCAAGTACCTCTACCATAATATCTCGAAACTATAGTAATTATAACTATCAACTACTATAACTATTAAAAGCTATTAAAAACCTAGCATTTTCTCAGCCCTACACACCAACCTTATATAATTTAAAAAGTAAAAAACATTAATCCCGGCCGAACATTGGGCAAAAAAAAAAAAAATTATATAAAAGTATCTGAATTCAAGCGTGTTCCACTTTAAACTACAAATACCAGTAAGACCGTTTGGATAACGCTGTTAAACTTTTCAAAAAAAAAAAAACCATAAAATGTGTGAGGCCGTTATATTGGGGCCATACCGACACGAAAACCTATATAGACAATTTTAAGCTTCAAGGATTGTCATCTACCAAATCAACGCCACAACAGCTAGAAACCATTACGAACTACAAATAGCAATTTTTGGACAAATACGTTGAGAAATGTGGCAAAAGTCATCAAAATATGGAATATCGGGAGGTACCGTTATATGGGGGCTATACAAAAACATACAATGTTTCGCCAACGGAGCTAGAACCCATTATGACTTGCAAATACCAATTTTAGGACAAATCCTTGAAAAAATGTGGCAAAAATCATAAAAATACCGAATATTGAAAGGTACTTTTATATATTTTCAATACCAACCATCCTAGACACAATACAAATTCTTCTGCCAAATTTTTAAGCTCTACGTCGAAAAATGTGGGCTGTATAGTTATTTCAATAGACAGACACACGGACAGCGTTTAATCCACTTATAATTTTATGCTGATCATGAATATATATACTTTATATGGTCTATGACGAATATTTAGGGATGTTACAAACGGAATGACAAAGTTAATGTACCCTCCATTTCAAGGTGGAGGGTATAATAATCAAATGATAGTAAAACATCTCTTATACCCCCCATTAGCGATCTTCTTTCCAAATTTCAGAATTCTAGCTCTTGTTGTTGGACCAATACAATGAATTGCATTTTAGGTATATTTTATTACACTTTTAGTTCTAATTTCACACCAACATAGCCCCATATGAAAAATTTCACGATTCCACTTTCCGCCGTTTCGCCTGGGTGTTGATAATTCAACCAGCCAGTCACTCAAAGAAATATTTTCAAAATTCATGTTTCGAATTGAATGCAGTGTACACTAAAGTACTTGTAACCAGCATGAGTCCATGTGTATTAGCTTAGAGACCGTTTATACATAAAACCCTTGGTATTGACGTCACCTTTCATATGAAAAATGGTTCAAGCAATCCAGAGAATCTCAATTGTTTAAACAATGCTTCAACGGAGAGTGGTCCCCTAAAAAAAAACAGAGGATATAAGTCTAGTATTGAATTTCAAATCAGCCACATCTCATCTTCATTTAACTCCATACATTAGCCTTCTGTACTAGGTATGGCGCTCAAAAGAGTATGTCCCCCATAAGGGTATGGCCTCCATAAGAGTATGGCCCCCAGGAGGATATGACGGCCATATTAGCCTTCTGTATTAGAAATGGCGCTCATAAGTGTATGGCCTCCATAAGGGTATGATCCCCCATATCAGCCTTCTGTATTAGGTATGGCCCTCATCCTACTGATTTTCGGTATTTTGAAGTGTTAGATTGCAAGTACCAATCGCACCAGGTGTAATTTGTCATTCACGATTTCTCAATTAGTAGACTAACATCTTACAAAAGTTACGCCAGTCAAGATGTGATTTTTATAGCTTCTCGAAAGTAGAATACGAAAATCGGCTAAATGACATGAAAATTTTTCTGAAAAAAAATCGGATTAAAATGTACATCCGATTTAAAATGTACATACCGAGCCATCCAATTCCCCAATTCGGACCCGCCTAAATTTTGTACTTCCCACATGAGTTTTATTTCGCCCCTGGTACCTGTAACCTAATAAATTTGTAAAATTTGTAAAAACATAATACTGATTGGTATAAAATCTTTTTAATTGTACTAAAACCTCGTCATACCCAGTTCTTCATTCAGACTTAGTTATCCGAGTAAATCAAAGGAACGCAATCTCTTTTTTTATAATTGTATTCCATAATATTTAAATTTATACAATATATTCTCCCTTGAAACTTCAAGGGGGATCGGTCGGAAATGTAGATCTGAATCCGAATGCAAAATCTTTTCGTTATTGTCTTTTACTCACTGATTTTGCAAGCAGAAAATTAACTTCCTTCCTTTTTAAAGAGTAGTACTACAAATGTCCCATTAAATTTTTTAATCATTTCATTTAATTGTTTTCCTTTCCTCTCACTTTCCGTTTGTGATGTCTTTGTTCGTTAGTATTTTCCATTTTTGTGTAACTTAGATTCAACAAGAAGATTTTATTACACCGTAACACTCATGCTATTATACGGCTAACCGCATTAAAAGAAGGAAAATTACTAGAGAGACATTTTTATGGAAATACCTAACATTTATTGGCAAGCTCAAGTTCTACCCAAGATTTTTACGGAGAAATAACACAGCCAATAAATGTTGAAAGCATTGTCTTTCCTCTTTTGTGGCATACTTCTTGTCTTAATCTTGCATGGAGTACAATAAATTTGAACGGCTTTTGATTTAAATTTGTGAAAGTGTTCTTAGCATTTTAAAATTGCAAAAGTTTTTAACTGACAAAATCTCAAATTGTATTAAATTTATTTTAAAAAAATGATAAAAAAAGTCAACAGCATTTATTTCGTTCATGATTTTTAAAGATAATAAGAAACAGACAACCTCCAGCCGTTTAATCTTATCCAAGAAGTAAACACTTCTTAAATTTTTCAAAACCCCAACATAGAAGATAATTTGGTTTGGCTTGTTTGAAGTTTTTATCTTTAAATTATTTAAAATCATTTCAAATAAGCTGGTGCCTCAATTTGGGGGTGGTAGTGATTCTATATCAAACAAGATAAATTGTTCCTTCTTAGAATCCGAAATGTCGAATTACACTATGTAACACAAAAAAAATAGTAAGGAAAGGTCAAAAGTCGGGCGGGGCCGACTATATGATACCCTACAACACCATGCGTATTTAGTTGAGCTCCCCTCCAAAAAATATTATAAAGGGAATTTATATGAAGTAAATCATACCAACTATGAACCTTATTTGAATGCGAATCAAGGCTTTAAAGTAGTCACAATTTTGGAACTATTTCCAATTCTGAATCGATTTTCAACAAATTTCACTGAGGCCTTTGTATCTCTAGTAGCAAGTAATATGGGTGTATAGTCCATGATATGACTTCAATAAGATTTATATTAAAAAATATTTATTGGAGCAACAGATATGCCGGACCGAGTTTCAACAAAATGGGAAAATTCGATTGAATATAAAAAAATCCATCAAATTTGGGTTGATATTACATATGTGGTGGACAATAACCGTAAAATCGGATGAAGATGTATATAGAAGTTACATATAAATATCTGAACCGATCTCGATAAAAACTTCCTCTGTCGAATAATCTCCATGTTACAAACAAATGCACAAAGACGTAGTACATAAACCCTACACCACATAGTGGTAAGGGTATTATGCCTTTTTGCATTGTTATGGAGAAGGAAGCGAGATAGACCCATAGTTACTTTTGAGGATCTTTATTGAAACCGTCTGTCTGAAATTTATTATCCGATTGAAATGAAATTTTGCAAACAATATTTGTTTGGCCCAAAGACGAACCCTATCGAAATTGCAATCTACGACAATGGTATTTGGTAAAGATAACTTATGGAGCTCAAAAATGCCTCTCTCAAATTCTATAGAGATCGGATCAGATTTGGATATAGCTCCCATATATATATTTATCCCATTTCAGGTTTATTTTGTACCAAATGGTTAATATCAACTCAAATGGACTGAATTATGGCACTTCCGACGGAATTCAGCCCAGAAGCAAGTGAATCAAATTTTGGTGAAAATCGCTTCAGATATAGCTATAGCTCCCATATATATGCTTCATCCGATTTGGTGTTAATGTCTCTCACATGCGTAATATGCACTCCACAACAATGATATTTGATACCGGGCATCAGATAACGCTCAGAAATACATCTATCAAGTCTTATTGGGATCGGTTCAGATTTTTATATAGCTTCGATTTACGTCTTATTCAGCCGAATTTTTCCATTTGGTGAAACTAGGACCGCTACATCTATTGCTCCAATAAATAGTTTTAAATATAATCCTTATCGAAGTCATATCATACACTATACAACAATGTTATTTGGTACTCATCCGTCAAATTTGTTTAAAATCGATTCAGATTCATAGAATGGAGGGTATATTAAGTTCGTCATTCCGTTTGCAACTCATTTTGTATCTATCTTATATACTTTATATTTATATGCTTTCTTTATATCCTTGATCAGCGTAAAATTCTAAGACGATTTAGCCCTGTCCGTCCCTACGTCTATTGTAATCACGCCAGAATTAAAAACGAAATAGGAAGTCCCGTCTTTTATCTGCAGGCAGGTCAAGTTCGAAGGTGGGCTATATCGGGCCCATATAACGGTAATAGCCCCCATATACCTGTACCCCCGATATTCGATATTTTGATGATTTTAGCCACATTTTAAATGGAATTGTCTGAAATTCCACAAAAGCAAGTCTTTGTAAGTACTTTGTCTCCTGAAAGAGAACGATATTGTATATTCTCCATATAACGGTACTTCCCAATATTCGGTATTATCATGATTTTAGCCACATTTTTAATGGGATTGTCTCCAAATCCACACCAGGAGTTCCTTCTGAGTACTTTACCCCCTGGAAGAGAATTTTTTTTTACAGGTGCACTACTTCGTATATCCCCCATATAACGGTTTTCATTTAAATGGTATTTTTGTACGTTTTTTTAAATTTTAATTAAAAATCCGGCTCGGGCGAATTTTTTGCTTTTTTTGTAAAACTTTCCTACATCATTTTAAAATCACAGCATACAATCGAATCCTGAGGCTATAAATATCTATTGGAATACCGACTAAAACTTTCCAACTAGTGTATTTCCTAGTTTCCGCAGAAATTCGAACTCGTGGAAAAGAACAAATGAAAGAGAAGACAATATGTATTTAATTTCAACAGAGAGAAATCGTTCAATAACACATTTAGAATTTCAGAATTTTGATCTACTTTGCATTTTGAAAGGTCATAATATTATTCGATAGATTTCCTCATTTAGAGCCGGCAAATATGGCATGGTAGTTCTGAGAGTGATTTGAATTGAATGGAGTACGAACAAATATATTGGGAAATGCTGTTGAAATTATCAAAACACAGAATATCGGGAGGTTACATTATATGGGGGCTATTCTCAATAGTAAACCTAGTAACATATCTTTTGCTCGAGTAGATTTCCATAGAAAAATATGATCGAAATATCGAATATCGGGTGGTACCACTATATGGGGGCTCTACGATATCGTGGACCTTTATACACAGTTTTCTTCCAGGGGGTAAAGTACCCACAAAGAATATTATCTGTAGACTTTCAGACAATTCAATTGAAAATGTGGCTGCAATCATCAAAATACCGTATATCAGGAGGTACCTGTTTATGGGGACTATACGATATTGTGAACCGATATAGCCCATCTTCGAATGTTAGCTTCCTATCCTTATTCGGTTTGTAGGGTCTAAAATCGTTATTTCGATAAGTTACAAACGGAATAACAAACTTAATAAATAAAAACATGTAAACAAGCTGTAAGTTCGGCCGAGCCGAACTTTGAATACCCTCCACCATTTGGAACAAATTGGGTATTCTCAAAAACAATAAAATCCGTTAAAAATTCTGTTAAAATTTTAAAAATACCGAATGTAGCTATTATATTAGGGTCTATACAACGACATGGTCCTGCGTAGGTAACATTCGTCATAAGCCGTTACAATATTCAAATACGAAACTGAAAAAAAAATCGACTATATTGTCGATAAAATCAAAATACCAAATATCGGGAGGTCCCGTTATATGGGGGCTTTACGAAGAGGTGGGCCTGCACAGACAATTTTCTGTCTTAGGCTGTAGTATTCCAATTCCGGTGAATAAATTCGCTAAAATCATTAAAAGAATTTTATGCTGATTAAGAATATATATACTTTGTGGGGTCTAAAATGTGTATTTCGAGGTGTTACAAACGGGATGACAAACTTAATATACCCTCCATACTATGGTGGAGTGTATGTAAAATGTCGTTCACTCAGAAAATTGTGCGTGGGGAATTAAGTATATTCTTCTTAATAAGGGGTCGAACAAAGTACAGACTTTTTGCGGACTAGTGTGCTAGCATCCGTTATAGAGCAGGACCGGTTTATTGCATATGCATTGAAGCAAAATAAGCTACAATATGACGAAATAAATATTATTAAGTAATAAAAATATTTTCCTTTATAAATTGAATATCTTTGCCCAACATTTGTTCTAACTTGTAATTTGATGTTTTAAATTTTTCATTTTTTTTCACAAATGCTATGCGATTAAATGTAAACAAATATATTTTGTTTTATTATTAGTTTCAAGAGGTAAACGTCATTGTGCCATTTTCCGTCGAAAGACTACAAACCATGGACAATACAAGCAGTTTGTTTAACAAAGATGTGAACGAAGAAATTCTGTTTAATTTAACAGCAGCTCAGATACAAAACCAAACTCTACCCACCGATGAAGAGAAATGGAGCAGAACAAAGCCAGCTGGCTCTAAATTCAATAAATTTTACTGTGATTATTACTTAGCAATTAATGTAAGTATTTAGATGGCGAAAAACAGAAGAAAAAGAGTTTTTTTTTTTTTTAATAAATTTGAATTGTCTTTCGACCAGAATGTGGTTGGCAATACATATATATATGTATGTGAAAGGTTTAATATAATTTTATAGATAATGTTATTGCAATTAATTGAATGTAAGTTCCAGCCTGCGATCAAATTCTCTATTGAAATTGATGAAAAACTATACGACCAATATGTGCCTCATAGAAATAATGGTGTCTTTGGACCAAATGTAGGACATCCCCAGTCTGTCTGTCTGTCCATATAACTGGCTGGTGCCGATAACTTTCTTGAAGGAAGTATCCGAATTGCTTTAAACTTGCTATATCGTAATATTATTGTCAAATTTAGATTGACTTCGGAAATGGGCAAAATCGGTCCACTCCTTCTGGTACCTCCACCACAAAAGGTCAAATAATTTTCCTATTAAAAAGAGAAAAAAACAATCTCTTTGGACCAAATGTAGGACATCTCCAGTCTGTCTGTCTGTCCATATAACTGGCTGGTTTGATTGATTGATTGACTTCGGAAATGGGCAAAATCAGTCCACTAGTTCGGTACCTCCACCACAAAATGTCAAATAATTTTGTTACTAAAAAGAGAAAAAACCATTCGATTTTGTGCAAACTTTGCAAATCCTAATATTTATATTAGTGCCAGGTAAGGTGCGAAAATGGACTATAGCAGTCCAGTCCATCAAGTACCTCCCCACAATAGGTCAACGTTTGGAATGATTATAACTCTCATAAAATAAAAAATAAGAGTCCGATTGTCTTCAAATGTCATACATTTCAATATTTTCATTAACACAAGATCTGGTGTGAAAGTGGGATATATCGACTCACTCCTTCTGGTACCTCCCCCTCAGCGGGTCAAAATTTTGAATAACCATAAAGTTCGTAAAACGCTATATGAACTGGGCACATATCAATATTTCTATCAACACAAGATCTGTTGTGCAAATGGTAGATATCCACCTACTCCTTCTAGCAAAGGGTCAAAATATTGAATAAACAAAACGATGTGCACTCCATGACAATAATTTTCGCCACAAAATATCACATTCAGCCTAGAAAAATCTCTATCATATTTGGTTGAAATCGATTCAGATTTAGGTATACAGCATTTAAATTTCGTGTTATATTTTAATCTGATTTAACTCATTTTTCTTTAAATGCATATTTTCTCATTAGACTTTCCTGTTGCTGACGCTGCTTTCCATGATGACGTGCGCCACCTATCAAGTGCTACGAATTCTATTTAAATTAATATTGCTGCTGATTGCCTCGATATTCTACATTGGATTTTCTGTATATTTTCTAATGCAAGAGGAATTGTACAACAAACTGGAGTAAGTCGATTACAATATTCTTTCCTATACAGATTTTAAAATAGGTCACTTTATTGAGCTATCCACTATGAGGAATATAATTTGTACTAAAATTTACGATTTATAATTGTATACTTTGCTTGATTGGATATCAAACTTTAGAAAATGTTCTATGGAAGGCCTAAATAATATCAAAAATTTAGAACCATTTGCGATTAATGCAGAAATACCCTCATATGGGATTATAAATCGTTTCATTCGTTAGAAGGGCTTCTCACAAACTAATAGATGTGACTGACGGCACAAAAGACATCAAATATAAGTACTCGCTACTTACAGAGATGGATGGAAAGTGCAGTGTTTTCAAGTGGCAGAATTGATTAAAACTATGGAGAATGAAATAACAGGACTGGCGATTATTTATGCAGATTGTAAAACGGCTTTAAAAGCTATTGTATCTTCCAAAATTAATTTTGATTCAGTCCTGAGGTGTAGAATAGCCCTGGGAGATTTGCACACTACTATCCGGCATTGCCGGGTATCAGGTCATTGTAATATTGAAGGAACTGAGAAAGCCATTGATTTGGGAAGGAGGGGCTCGCAGTCAACAGATCTTTAAGTCGCCTCTTTATCATTTCCACAATGTATTAAAGCGAATATTCTCTATCCTTCTTAATTTTCCTTTTTCTTAACGCAGGATGATCACAATGGACCGAATGGTCTCCGAGTGAGGTAGTTACAATTTCAACTGCACATCTTCAAATCTTACCTAAACTCCTTACCGAGTTGATTGGCCATGTGAACTTTAAATCCTGTTCGTACTTTGCACTTTTTTGTAAAAAGTACTGGAACATTTTAGATGGAAAATATGCACAAAACTTTAAGATCACCTTCTGGTCTTCTGTGAGGCGACCTTCTTCACTTTAATAATTCAGTCTTTTTAATATAATATGCTAAATTTTTGGCCCTACTCACGAAGTGTTTCCTAACTTCTTTTCGAAGAGTACATCTCCTCTAGGAAACTAAAGTCTTCCTGCATGAATGAAGACTCCCAAGTTTCTGCCCTGTTCATGGAAGACGTAAGGAGAGAGCTATCCTATTTTTGGATGACTTTATTTTTCTAAACGTCAAATTTGTTTATGTCTTTCGTTTTTCCACATTATAAAGGTTCACGTTTGCCTACTAATAATATAACTGAGAGCCTACACGTTTGACTACGGCAAAGAATTTCCATAGTTAGTTTGCAAAAAATTCGGAAGCGTATTAAAATTGGTGGTAATCGGAGCAGATTTAGATATAGTTCCCACATGTCGATTTAGCTAGGTCCGTCCGTCTTCATACCTAGAACTGTAGCCTTCGCTCCATAGAATTTTGGTATTGAAAATGGTATAGCTTTCATATAATGTTACTGCCGGATTTAAGATGTTTTTGTAAGAAGCATACTTACAAAGAACTGCCCATATAACGATACAGCCGATATTTGGTACCTTGTTGACTTATGTTACATTTTTCACCGAAATGGTTTCAAATTTGTTATTTGAAGTTCGTGATGAGTACCACCTTTTTGAAATTCGGCATTGTTTTGACTCTGACCCTATTTCCACAGGTTTTTCTTTTACATTCAGAAATAATATGTGAGCATTAATGGAGGGTACTAAAAGTTGTCACAACCGAACTTAACTGTTTTTTTTAACATAGCCATTTATTTTATATATTTATTCATTTTTTTTTTCTCAAATATAGGAATCATAACTTTCTGGAATATAGGAAGAGAGTTAAAAGAAAAAAAAATTACTACACTTCACTCCAAGATTTTACAGCATTACCTAAAATTCGATCTACTCGGTTGAGTACATACAAGTATCTGCATAGCCAGTTTTCTGTTACAGGTTGTAGTACCATTACGAATTATCTATTTTAAAATACCAAAATTTCTGCAGACCAAACACACATTTGAGTAAAATGTTATCACTAACTTGAAATCGATCGGAAGTTAGGAGAATTCCACAGACGGACGGTCAGTGTTAACTCGACATGGAATTTTATTCTGATCAAGTATATCGATCGGAAGTTAGGAGAATTCCACAGACGGACGGTCAGTGTTAACTCGACATGGAATTTTATTCTGATCAAGTATATCGATCGGAAGTTAGGAGAATTCCACAGACGGACGGTCAGTGTTAACTCGACATGGAATTTTATTCTGATCAAGTATATACAGGGTGAGATAAAAAAACTGCAACAAAGTCAAACGCCATAATTTCTATTTTTTTAAATTTTATTGAATGAATGCAAATAATGTCGGAAATAGCATCAAATTTTAGAATAAGTTTAGATTTGTTCGAATTGGTTACCTTGGGCACGAATTATGGTTTTAAACGGCCAATGAAACCGTCACACGCTGTCCGAATGTTGCTCTGCGGTATGTTGGCCCATTCCCGGCGAAGCCCTTGCTTGAGGTGATCGACACTTTGATATTTTTTAATGCCAACCTTGCTTTCCCAAATACTCTAGACACAATAGTTTATGAGATTGGTGTCCGGATATTTTGTGAACATTGTGCGCTGGAAATGAAGCGAGGAACCTCATTTTGTAACCATTCTTGGGTAGCGCGTGCTGAGTGCGATGGTGCTGAATCCTGTTGGAATGCCCAAGTTCTGCGACCAAAATGTTTGCGTGCCCAAGGCTTTAATACACCCTCAAGTATATTTACGCGATAATATTCAACATTTATTCTGATGCCACAGTCGATTAATACGATCGGAGAGCGACCATCGTCTGTTATGGCGGCCCACTCCATCACCATGGTCGGCGCTTGAGTTCTGGTGGCCAACCGAAGGTGCACATTTTCAGCTGACCTTTTGGCAACGAATACGATTATTTTGTTTGTTTACAAACTGCAGGACAACGAATGTTTTCTCATCGGAGAAAACCAAATTCGGCAGTTCACCACTTTCGACCAAGCGGAGCAACTCTTTAGCTTTTTGAGTCTATTTTCTTTCTGTTGCGGTGTAAGTTCTGACACTTTTTGAAATTTCAATGGCTTTACCTTTCATTTTTCTATATTTGCCGAATGGAATATTGCGATATGTTCAGTCATTTTTCGGCCACTGCGACGCGGGTTTCGATCAAGTAGCTTCTTTACTTTTCGAACTATTTCTGCTGATGTTGCTGTTTTCTTATGTCCACTTCCTTGACATCGGGCAACGCTACCAGTATCACGGTAACGAGCGATGGTACAATGCTCTAACAATAGCCAATTGTAGTTTACCAGCCAAATATAAAGAAATCACACTACCACACTTGAATTCCATCACGAATGCCTTTTTTCTTTTTTGAAAATTCTCACCAAAATGCTTTTGTACTCTTGTAAACAATATAATGAGCTCTCACTGGAATAATTTTAACAGCTGTTGGACGAGTGGCTTAAAAATGACAGCAGTCTGAAGTTTGTTGCAGTTTTTTCATCTTTGTGGGGTCTAAAATTTTTTTTCGAGGTGTTACAAACGGAATGAAAAGCTTAATATACGCACCATACTACTATTGTAGAGGGTATAAAAAGTATAAATTGTTAAAAGGTTTTTATTTGTAGATTATTATATATGGACCTGGCTTACTAAGGTAATACGGACAGACAAAACACTTTACCATAGTGGGGAAATTGAATATTTGCATTCGCTATGTCCAATTTTAGGTAGTGCTGTAATTTTACATTTTGTAGGGAGTATTCCAAATAAGCTAGAATTAATTATTTGCTACAATGTTCTTTGCTTGATTTTATTTATAGAACGTATTGTAATTGGAAATTGAAGCACAATCTATGGTTCTTTACTTATCATCCCCATCAATTATGGTACACAATTAATATTTGTTCTCCTTACATCTCTTTTTAATGTCCATCTATTTACTCCTTGCCCACGTGGAAATGCAATCACAATGGTTCTATATTTATTACCATCTCAATAACACAACCACCCACTGCCCAATGTACATCAACACCAACACCTGGGAATACATCGGTTCTGTGGTCATAATACATAACCAATGATGATGCCGTTCTTCGACTGGTGTACATTAGCAATGAGGAAGCACTACTGCGTTACATAATTGATTTAATTTTCCTGCTTGCATTTATGCTGGCATTGATTTTTCATAGTCACCAGACGGAGGCCACCTATCGTTTGGACTTCATTTGGAAACTACAGGCAACAGGTAAGTCAGTAACTCATCGATGCAGCAAAGCAAAATTAAAACTCATTAAATGAGAACTAACCTAGAACTATGTAATTAATGTCCAAAGGATGGGATCTAAAATCCTTCTGCTTGAATTCTCTTCTATGAATGCAACGACATATTAGATTATACTACAAATGTACCAACTAATATCTGATTGAAATCCTTCCTTTTATTAATTACTTGTAGTGATAAAGTCCACACCACAGACAAAAAATAACATTTGATGTGTATTGAAGGAATACAGGTGGAAATGTGTACTCGGTATTTTGTGTATATTTTATTAGGATCACAATGAGTATGTGACTTTTAGATACGGAGATGAATTTTAGACATTTGGTATAAGGTAGGAATGGGACTGGAATTATGAATTATGGTATAAGAGATTCCCTCGATATATAGATCACTGTAAGTGTATGGATCTAGATAAGGAGGTGATAACAAATTCCATATGATACTACCTTTAATAGTGGACATATAGGTAGAGCCAGACTTGCAAAGAAATGTTATATGCTACTTCATGTCGAGATGACAAGAATGTTTGGAAACATGTACCAAATTTTGGATATTGGTTTTCAATAAAAGTGAGCGACGGATCTAAATACTGTCCTGAAGTATTTATATCAAAGACTCGAAAAACGATTTTCTCTTTCGACATTTTCAGTTTATTCATATGGAAACTTGGACATAGAGCTGTGTCAATCTAGCACGCCGGTACCTAAACGTTTGAGTAGTTTCATAAATTTAACATATTTCGTCACTCATACTCATGCAAACAATCAGAGTTTACGGAATTAGATAAGGAACTACACTTTTATACCCTCAGTCACATGGCTAGAGAGGGAATATATCATTAGATACGGCCAAAAAGCCTCATCAAAATTACGGTTGTAGGTTCTATGTCTATTTGGACCATATCCGTTTCAGGACAATTGGAGTCGATCTAGCGAATTTCGTCCGTCCGTCCGTCCGTCTGTCTGGCTGGTGCACAAGAGAGTAGGGAGTATCTGATGGGGTCCAATCTTGGTATATCGTAATATTATTATCAAACTTCGATAGAGTTGAGAGATGGGCAATATCGGGCCACTCCTTCTGGTACCTCATCCACAAAGGGTCAAAATTTTGATTATTCATGAAGCTCATAAAACACAAATTAAGTGTCTGATTCTCTTCAGATTTGGGACATCTCAATATTTCTATCAACACAAGATCTGTTATAAAGATGGTAGAGATCGGACAATTTCTTCTGGTATATCCCCCACATAGGGTTCACGATTTAAAAAAAAAAAGAACAAAACTCTCAAAGAAAGCGAAATAGGAATCCATCTCTCTTCAAATTTTACAAATATTTTTGCTAACGCAAGCTCTGTCGCTTGGATGAAAGATATCTGAAAGCCCCTTCTGGTACCTCACCCACAAGGGATCACAATTTTCAATCCTTTTATCTGTCATAACTTGCTAAACAAGTTCTTTACAAATTGCTATATCTAAATATTTCTCTCAAGCAGAAACCTGAGATGAATATGGAAACTATGATTTCGAATAAAATAAAATTGGATATAAATGTTCGATTTCCTACAAATTTTGCACATACCAATATTTTTATCTGTTTTAGATGAATTATGAAAATGGAATTCTTCGGTCCGCTATATCTATTACCTCACGCATATTTCTACATCTTTCCAAAAATTTTGCACATATCTCATATAAAGTATAAGAAGTTGTCGATATAGTCCAAATTTGGCATGTTGTACAATTTTTATCAGTCGTAGGTCAGATACGAATTAGCCAACTGCTTCGGAACATGGGGGACGTTCAACAGTTTAAATAATCATAACTCAAGGCTGGGTGTATAAATCTTACGGCAAAATGGACTGATAATTATTTACTTGTTTCTATAGAAATTTACAAAAAGGGTTTTAACTAAACCGACGAAAATATTGGCTTTGACCAAGAAATTCGAATTCTGAATCGCTGTGCTCTCATAGCTTTCAGTCGTGAAAATCAAAAGATATGATACACAAATTTACAACAGGTTAAAGCAATTGTAGCTGATGTTTGTCCGTACTCCACATTCTCTATAAAATTTTTATATATTATTATTATACCCTACACCACATAGTGGTAAGGGTATTATGTCTTTGTGCATTGGAAAGGAAGCGAGATAGACCCATAGTTACTATTGAGGATCTCCATAGAAACACTTTCTGAGTTGATTTATGCATGTCAGTCCATCTGCCCGTCCGTTTGTCCATGCATTCTTGTGACCAAAATGCAGGTCGCATTTATTATCCTATTGAGATGAAATTTTCCAAACAACATTGGTTAGGCCCAAGGACGAACCCTATTGAAATTGGTGAGAATCGGTTCACAGTTAGATATAGCTCCCATATATATATTCAACCGATTTCGGATTTATTGTGCACTAATCAGTCCAAATGACCTGAATTTTGGTACATCCGACCAAATTCTGTCTGGAAGCAAGCACATCAAATTTAAAGGAGATCGGTTCAGATATAGGTATAGTTCCCATATATATGTTTTATCCGATTTGGTCTTTAAGTCCCTCTCATTCGTAATATGCACTCCACAGGAATGATATTTGATACCAGATAACAGATACAGTCCAAAAATAGTTGATTTTAATTTTATCAAAATCTGTTCAGATTTGGATATAGCTCCCATATATATCTTCATCCGATTTCGTGTTAATTGTGCACCAAATGGCCAATATCAGCCTAAATGGCATGAATTTTGGCACATCCAGCCGAATTCAGCCTAGAAGCAAGTACACCAATTTTAGTAAAAATCGTTTCAGATATAGCTATAGCTTCCATATATATCTTTATCTGATTTAAATGTGCACCAAATGGCTAATATCAGCTCAAATGGCATGCATTTTGGCACATCCGACCGAATTCAGCCTAGCTCCACTTAATAAGCATAGTGGTGTAGGGTATCATAAAGTCGGCCCCGCCCGACTTTGACCTTTCTTTACATGTTTTTTATATGTCTCTATGTGAAATATACATAATATAAGAAATTTAACAATCTCTTTCTTAACCACATATAAATACCATATATAAATTTCATTATGAAATTCCATTTTGAGACAAAAATTTCAAATTCCAAATTTCTTTCTATAACCGAATTTTAGTACGCAATTACGCGATTGCCGAATTTAATTTTACCTGCGAATTTTTATACTTCATCTTCATTTTTAGCATAACGTTTGTTTCAAAAATATCGCATATATACCCGGTGATGTCATTATTTCCCCTGCGACATTTTGCATTCAACAGAGAGAACCAACTAGATAACATACCTTGGAACGAAAGAAACAAAAGGAACGGAAGATTGCCGGAAGCCGAATCAGACAATTCTTAACGTCGTTGTTTCCCTTTTTGCTTTACCATAACTTGGTTTCCTTGAAACATCTTTGGTTAAATTGAATCAACTTGAACACCACTAAATGACATTGAATTCAATTGTGTCTTTTCCGTTACAATACCACTAGCTAGCTACGCATCGGGATACAATGGCATTGAATGAATAGAGCGTTGCGACTGCTTGCAAAAAAATTGAAGAAATTTACGCTGAAGTGCCTTTCATGTATCGTTAACGATATGCATAGGTGGAACTTGAAATGCAGTTTCAATTTAATTTGTGTGAAAGCTAGTACTGGCATTTCTAGTTTAACATATTTCGATATATGAAGACATACATATATTTGGTAACACATTGTGGTGTAACTTTTAGTTATCCTGACTAGCATACAGAATCTCAAGGATATTTAGACTCTGCTATGGAAACAAACTTGAATATATACTAAATTATATTTCGTTGCGCCAGGAGGAGGCGTAATCCTCGTTAACTAATCTTACCCATTTTCCCAAAGAAAGCAACGAAAGCTGCTTTGCAAAAACTCTCGATATTACGTGGTTGCCACGAAAAAGTGGTCCATCCTATCAAAATTGTGGAAATCACGTGTGTCACTGTCGGCGGAAGAAGCAAGAATCTTGAAATTTAGTTTGAGTGACCCTTAGTCTGAAGTTTTCAGAGTTTACGAAAAGCATTAAAAGGTACCCTTTGTATTTGAGGAAGCAGTAGAGCTAGAATTATTAAATTTGGAATAAAGGTCACTGATGGAGTGCATGACAGATGTACGAAACGGTTTTTGGAAATTCGTACTTTAAGTGTACGAAAGGAAGGACTACATTTGGTACAATTTCGTATCATGTGAAGGGTAAGAGCTTAACATTTAAAATTTAGAATGGAATCAAGGTTAAGGATGTATGGAAGTAGTTGTAGTAGTAGTTTTGGAAGTGTGTACGCATGTATACGAAAAGTACTTAACAATAGTAAATTTAGTACAATTTTGATTTTGTAATTAACATTACTGGCTGAGTGTAGGATTGAGATATGGAGGGAGATTTCGAAATTTTTACTTATGTGCACGAAAAGTACTCAATGATACTAATGATACGATTTCGGTGAACCGAGAGAGAGAGAGAGAGGGAATTTTGAAATTTGAAAATAAGATTACTATTGCATTGTAGGACTGAGGTATGTAGGTAGTTTTGGAAATTCGTACTTATTAATAATTAAATGGCGCTAAATTTTGGTACAATTTACAAGCCGGTATAGTAGGAATCCTAAAATTTAAAAATAAGATTTCTATTGAACTGTATGATATAGGCAGGCAGGAAAGATTGAAATATATATGTTAATATTTCGAAAGGTTGAGTGTCAGCTATGAGATGGAATATATTTTTGGACCTCTACAATGGACCGTTTGTCTACGTTTTGATAATTTAGTAAAAGAATGAGGGTCTCAAAAACCTATATTTTTTTTTCGTTTTATTGGTACCTTCATTATCTTTTAAATTACAGGATGAGATAAAAAAACTACAACAAAGTCAAACGCCATAATTTTTTCATTTTTTTTAAATTTTATTCAATGAGAGCAAAAAATGTCG